CACTGACCTTTACTGATACACCTCCCTTTCATCTAGCTACATATTACATAATATGACACTAGGCTGCCTGAGTATTGAGAGGAAAATTTAAACGTTTACTCCTGTGACTTTGGCTCAAGTGACCAAACAAATACTCCAATCAGCTGTAAGTAATAACTGTCAATATTTTAGGTACGTAGATTTGATTGTCTTGGTGTTTCTCGTCGTAGAATCAAGTTTTAAATCAAAAGTCAATTATTAAACGTGATTCCACAAAAATAATAGCAAAAGAGAAGTGAAAGTAAAACGTACCACAATGAATGACGCGGACTAGCAGTAGTGTTTCCACAGCCAACAACTAAACCATTGATTATAAAAGGGCTCCTACATTATTCGTCTCGTGTAAATCTGCCGCTGCTGTTTTGTTCCATCCAATGCAAACTTTTATCAACACCTTTTTTCAAACATATATTAAATATATATGGGAATGAGCACAAGTACAGGCAGTGTATCAAGGATAACAATCGTTGATGTTGTTAGCTCTGTTTACGACTTTTTATTCTAACCATTCTTTACAAATCGTAGAAGAACTTTCATAGCTAATTTATTTCAGTATTTGTCCAGAACTACCACAGCCAGAAGTTAAGAAAAATAATACAAGATCAACAGTCCGTACTTATTTACATGTTTATTTCACAAAGGATTATTAAAGACAAAAATTCAACCAGGTACAATACTGTTGTAACATAAATTTACGCTTTAAATACTCATTGTATGATACAATCAAGTACCAGAAGTTATAAACTTAATTTCTAATTTGCATACATGCAGTGTATAGCTTGTAGGGAAATACAGTTGTGCAGCATTAATGTTCCAATTTAAGTACGCGAAATATAGACCAACACTAGCAGTCCTGTCATTCTGTTTCCGACTAAAGGTCCAGAATATATTTTTCTAAAGAATGAGACATGACTCTGAAATTCGAATAATTAATTTCCTTAAAGTACATGACAAGAAAAAAAATGTGATACTAGTAATTGGCGTTGGACACAAGACAAGAGGCCCAGAGGGCCTGTATCGCTCACCTGGATACCTTAGCAATCATGGCAAAATATTCTCCAAAC